AATAAAACCGAAAACTCAACATATGCCCTAGAGCAGAAGTGCAATAAACACTTGAAGGGTTGGGGGAGAGGGAGCAATGATGTCACTGGAGATGGTTCTACTTGTCAAAATGGGGATGAAAAACATTCTTTTTTACTACTCACTTTAGAGTCATTTTAAGGCACTATAAAAATATCTAATGCTCATGCAGTAAGGATTCTAGAAATGTACTCCAATTTCCTTTTATCAAATAGAGCGATCGAGTGGTTGGATCTCTCCTCAGTTAATATGTAGATCCAGACTGAGATCAGAACCTAAGACTTTTGGCAAATAATGCAGCGCCCTTCCCATAAGGCTGAAATGGTGCTCAAGACTGGCCGGATCAGGACTGCCCGGTTGTTTTCAAATGTTCACTGGTGTGATTACCTGACAACAGACTTCATGTCTTACAACTAAACTCTCTCCTGCACGTGCCCAATCGGCCTTGGCCACTTTCAAACCACTGGCTTCCTAACTCTGGCTCTCCATGGTAATAAACTCTTTAATGGCAAGAACATGTGTTACCTCTTTATACCTCCTGGCACCTGGCACAACTACGCTTTTTAAACTTTGAGCTACAGATTTTATGCAGTTGTAGGAGATGATACTGAGAGATCTGTTTTTTACCCCGTGTGTTCTCCAATGGAAACAGTTTGGATTATAATCCAGTATCACAACCAAGGTGTTGACATTGATACAAGCCACTGGTCTTTCTCAGGTTTTCCCAGTTTTCATTGTACTCTTATTGTATCTATACAATTCTATGACACGTGCAGGTTCATGTGTTCATCAGCGTCTAGATGCAGAACAAGTCCATCATTCAGAGCTCTTTTGTGCTGTTCTTTTATAACCATACCCATTGCTCCTACTCCCTCCCCACCCCGTCCCTACACTCTTTTGACCACTAATGGTTATTGGGGCTTTTTCACTCAACAGAATTCACTAGAGATTCATCCAGATTATTGCTGTGTCAATAGTTTGACCCTTTTTATTGCTGAGAGTATTTGGTGATGTAGATGTACCACTGCTAACCATTCACCCCTTGAATGGCATTGGGGTTGTTTCCTGTGCTTGGCTACTAGGAGTAAAGCTGCTATGAAAATTTGTGTACAGGTTTGGGTGTAAATATAAGTTTTTATTTATCTGCGATAAATGCCTAAGAGTGCAGCTGCTGGGTCGAAGAGTAATTACATTTCCCCTTCCATACACCCCTCCCCTTTGGCAACCATTGGCTTGTTCTCTATATCTATGGGCCAGTTTCGGTTTTATTGATTCTTTTTTTAGGTTCAATATAAAAGTGAGATATGGCATTTGTCTTTCTCTGTCTGACATGTCAGCATAATACCCTCTAGTTCTATCCATGTTGCAAATGGCAAGATTTCATTTCTGTTTATGGCCGAGTAATATTTCATTATATATGTACCACATCTTCTTTATCCATTCATATACTGATGGACATCTAGGTTAGTTCCATATCTTGGCTATTACTAGTAATGCTGCAATGAACATAAGGATGCATATCTTTTTAAATCAGTATTTTTGTCTTCTTTGGGAAAATACAGACTTTTAAATGAAGAAATACACTACTAAATTACCCATGGATCAAATAAAAAATTACAAGGAATAAGGAAATATTTATAACTGAACAATGAAAATACAACATAAAATGTGTGGTTATAGCTAAAACAGTAATAAAAGTGAAATCCATAGCTTTAACTGATTATGCTAGAACACAAGCCCATTTCCATTTTAAAATGACAATAGAAATAAAATAGATTTCAATATGGAATTTCACTTTATATTATCTTTGTTCAGAGTGTGTGTCTGAATAGTTGTAAACCAATGAAACTAAAAAGGCAACTACAGCATACACCACTAGAGGGCACTATTATCTAACACCATTGTGAAATAATTTTTAAAAATCTAGTTAACATCCACCACCAGACATAGATTCTTTTTCTCTTGTGGAAATGTTTAAGATCTCATAGCACCTTTCAAATATGCAGAACAGTATTATAAACTATGGTTACTATGCAAGTTTACACCTTTTGACCCCCTTCACCCATTCTACCTTTGGTAAAAACCAATTTATTATATATATCTGTGAGCTTGGTTTTCTTTTTAAAAAAATATTTTTATTGATTTCAGAGAGGAAGGAAGAGGGAGAGAGAGAAACATCGATGAGAGAGAATCATTAATTGGCTGCCTCCTGCATGCCCTTTACAGGGGATCAAGCCTGCAACCCGGGCATGTTCCCTTGACCCAGAATTGAACCGTGACCTCCTGCCTCATAGGTCGATGCTCAACCACTGAACTACACTGGCCTGGCTGAGTTTAGTTTCTTGGTTAATTTTTATTCCATACACGAGATCACAAGGTATTTGTCTCTGACTTATTTCACTTAGAATAATGCCCTCAAAGGGCCACCCTTGTTGTCACAAATGGCAAGATTTCGTTTTTATATGATTGAGTAATATCCCATTGTGTATATATACATCTTTATTGATTCATCCATTGATGGGCACTTTGGTTGATTCCATTATCTTGGCTCTTGTAATAATGCTGCGATGAACATGAAGGTGCAGATATATTTTCAAGTTACTGTTTTCATTTTCTTCAGATAAATACCTAGAAGTAGAATTGCTAGGTCATGTGATAGTTCTAGTTTCAAGTTTTTTAGGAGCCTCTGAACTGTTTTCCATAGTGGATGTGCCAATTCACATTCCCACCAGTAGGGCGCAAGGGTTACTTTTTGTCCACATCCTCACCAATACTTTTATTTCCTCTTATCAAATACCCATTCTAACAGGTGTGAAGTGAGGTGACATCTCATTGTAGTTTTGATTTGCATCTCCCTGATGTTTAATGATGTTGAGCATCTTTTCAGGTACCTGTTGGACATCTATGTCTCTTTGGGAAAATGTCTACTCAAATCTGCTACCCATTTTTAAATTGGGTTACTCGGGGATTTTTGCTATTGAGTTTCTATATTTTGGATATTAACCCTTTATCAGATATGATTTGCCAACATGTCCTCCCATTCAGTGGGTTGCCTTTTCCTTTTATTGATGGTTTCCTTGGCTGTGCAGAAACTTTTTAATGTAGTCCCACCTGTTTTTCACTTTTGGTGTCAGGTGTTTTTTTTAAAAATCACCAACCAGATCAATATTAAAGAGCTTACTACTTGTTTTCCTTTAGAATTTGTAGTTTCAGGTGCTGGTTTTCAAGTCTTTAATTCATATTGATTTTCATGTCTGGTGTAAGCTAGTGGTCTAGTTTTCCCATGTTCCATGTATTGAAGAGGCTGTATATATTCTTGGCTCCTTTGTCGTAAATTAACTGACCACACGTGCATGGATTTATTTCTGGGCTCTCTATTCTGTACCTTTGATCTGTTTTTATGCCAATACCATACTGATTATTATAGCTTTGCGATTGGTTTGAAATGAAAAGTGGGCGGCACTTACTGCATCTTCCATATGTAGCTTTGTAGTGTTTCATGTCATAGGACAGTAAGAGTGGAAGGGGTTCCGGGGACAAGCCAGCCTCGTTCAGCTCCACATACCGAGACCTGAACAAGCTGGAGTGCATCTGCCAAAGCCACCCACTAAGGTCTCCTCACTCCGAGTCCAAACCTCATCAGTCCCTCTAACTCACACTTTTCTACATATCACTTGGCATGCATGTTCAGGGGACGTTGAATGTTTATGCAAAAGCATCAAGGAGAGGAGAAGCTGGTAAAGCTCAGTGGCTTATCTTCAGGGAAAGTCGGGGGTTGACCTCGAACTTGAAAGGCCTGGCCTCCCAGGCACACCCTGTGGTCCCTCCCCCCATGGTAAGGGCTACCAGCTGCTTGAAGGAACATCCACTTTTTGTCTTTGCACGGTTCCTGGTCCCCAGAAATTTCCCTTCAGCTCCTCAGAGATGTGGCTTAACCTGTACCACACCCTGGACTTCCACATGTCACTCGGTTAATTTTGTCAGGAGGCAGTGCAGACAGGCGGCCACGGCGAGCTTCCTCCATTTCTGAATGGAAAGGCTCATGAGCAGCCTCAGGAAGAGCCAAGTGGTAGGGGCAGAGCCGTCCTGGGACCCGGAAGAACCTCGTTAACCCAGGAGCAACTGACGGGCAGGAGACTAGACTTGGGGTAACAGTGGGTGAGGCTGTCTTCTAAGTGAGGGTCTGAGTCTGAGCTCAGCCAAAGGGAGAAAGCCCTTTTACTTATCTCAGCGTTAATAGTTATTGTTCCTAAAACTAGTCCTCGCTGTGTTCAGGTGGTAAAGCTCATGAAAGGCGCAACTCACTTTGTCTTGGAGACAGAGCACCATTACCTGTTTTCCACTAAGAAAAAACCTAGATACAACTGATGGAATGAAAAGCAAGTGTCCAATATTGGAGATATACAACTGATATGTCTACAACTTGGGTACAGTAAGTCCATGTTACTCGGTGTGGCCCACAGAGCCAGGCTGTGCTTGTTAGTAAGACCCCCAAGAGGTTTGTATGCAGGCTAATTAGACAAGCACAGCCCTGGGACTGTTCAGGTAAACAAAGCTGAGAAAAGCAGACTGGCCCCAGGACAAGCATGATCACATGAACTCAGGGCTGAGAGGATGTTGACCAGCCATGGGTTAAAAGGATTTCTCTGCAGGACCTGCAGATTCTCCAGCTTAGGTGGAGTGTGCGTCAGCACCCGAGTTCCTCGGCGTTCCCGTGACCACTGGCTCAGCTGAGCAGTGTGGAGTAAAAAAATTCACTTTCTGTGGCTCAGGGGTCACTTCAGCCCAACATCAAGCCCCTCCCTCCCCTCCCCTCTGGGGTTGACAGCTACAGGGCAGATGAGGCGTCTGTTTTTGTCACTCTGCTTCTTTCTGAAAACCTCTGAGGATTGCAATGAAAACAATTTCACAGAATTTCTGAGATGATTAAACAGGCAAACCCGCCACCACCCCTTTAGTTGCAGAACTCACACATTCAACAGTTTTCAGGATTCTCATTCCATTCTTTTATTTCCTCATCCCACAAACATTTAGTTTATCTGCCTTTTTACAACCTGATTTACAAGCAAATGAAAAGCAGGCATTCATTAATCCTCCAATGAGCGTGTATGAAACATAGCACAAACCCTAGTATTTATACCTAAGCAGACTTAGCAGAAGCAGCTTTGTCACAATCTCTTAAAATTCACATTAGTTTAAATATTGATGCCTGTTAAGGTTTGCATAATCTACTGTACATAGTTATTTCTGAAGTAGGTTAAGACTTTAATTGGAAAAAACCTTCAACAAAATGCTCTAACAATTATGTGAAACTTATTTACAGTTAAACATTTAGGGGCTTGATTCACAACTTAGTGCATATCATGATTTATTGAAGAGCTTCACGGAGAAGGGCATAAGCAGCATGTAGGATATCCTCCAGGTAAAACCTAGAGCAAATGGCTTTTATAAGGAAGTCTGTCAATATGCTTACTGGAAACTACAAAAAAGTAAGAAAACAACCTTCAGCAACTGCACCTGATTTGCACATTTACATACACAGCAGCAACCAGAACAGACACAGGAGCGGGTGCCATTTTTGACAACACTCTGTATATTATGCACAGGAGGAAAACCATCACCCCCAATAATCACTACATGTGAACTCAGGGTACAGGTCTCCTGCCTTCCTATAGAGTTCTCTTTAATGCCTGCCTCATCGAATTCAATAAAAAAGGACAGTACCTTTCATAACAGCCATCAGTTCGACGGGTTTACTTGGTGGTTAGCTATTCCGATTACAAAAGAAACAGATAAGGTGCCAGAATCCAGGGTTACCCCTGAAGCCCTTCAATGGATCCGACAGTGATTTTAAATATAAAACAAAGGAGATGCCTGAAAGAACATCAATAAGACAAACTGGTTTTAAAGTGAAGTGATAAATTTCAGTGAATCAGGTCCAGGTAAAGTCTTTAAAAAAAAAACACACACACAAATATTTACAGTAAACATTTTGAACTCTGGAATGCAGATATAGTACAATTACTAGAACATCACATTTACAAAACTGCTTGGGCAGTTGTTGCTCCAGAGTGAGAATTGGGAAATGTACAAGCCAGTCCACACTTTAGATATGTTATTAAAATACATTGTTAATCATAAAAATACTTTACTATGTACAGGTTCGCTGTAAAAACTCTAGATTTACCCGCTGAAGGAAGCCTCTCAGGCCATTTCCGGCCCATGGGTCCAGGAACCGGTACGGTCGTTAACCTGGTCACGCCAGGCTCTGGCTGGAGCTGTGGCCGGTTCTCCGATGAAACAGCGAGCGAGTCCCTCTGCAGGGGCCTAGTTGGAAGAGTCCGTTTTACTTCCGCTATATCTTACTCTCCTAAATGCTGGTCCAAGTAACTCTGGGCATTCACATAATTCATTTGCAATTTGGTTGCACTTTAAAATAAGGCTATAGTTTATTTGATCGGTTATTACACTGTCTTGCTTGTAGTCGGGATGGTTTGCAATAAACTCCCTCATCCATTTGGCGACTGTCATTAGTTCTCCTGAAAAAGAAAAAAAAATTAGGTCAGTTTAATAGTAGTGCTTTTTAAAATACAAGTTGACATTTGGCCAGAATGCATAATCCTGAAGAAAAGCAGCGTGACCTTTGGTGTGGCCAGGTGGCGGGGCTGGGAAAGCATGCTTTCCATAGTGTTTGCAGGACTCCTCCTGGAAAAGAATTTCAGGCTGCAGGCAGGCAACTAGACCACACACATCCCAGTGCTGCCTGGCAGATGCTACCCGCACACTGACCGACACTGCCAGCTCATAAGATACGAGAGCCAGCACGTGCACTAACGCATGCGGCCTCCCATTTGGCCAGAGGGCTAAGACCACATATGCTGGCCGTGTCATGAGACTACCTCAGAGGACAGCAGGTCCCACGTTTGCCAGAGCGACCTTTGGTCAAAGAGGTGGAGAAAAAGAACAGTAAGTGGAGTGAATGGAGAGGGAAACTGGCAGACATACCATTGGGGGTACATCCTTTGTAAAATACAGATGCCATTACCACCATCACTGTTGCTCTGGTTCACAGCTGACGGCTCCCCCGGCTAACAGAGGAGGGGTTCCTGGGGTGCTCACTGTATGCAGCAGGCTGAAGACCCCGACGCCCTCGCTGTGTTGCTTATTTACCTTACAGAGTTACTCAGCCCTAGAAAAAGAGCCCGTGATGGTGCACAATGAACACAGCCGGACTTCAGTCACAACTAGGCACTGTGTTGCATTCTCTACAATGCCATCGACTTAAAGATGCACCAATTTTATGAATCAGTATTAAAAAATAGAGCACTAATTAAACTGTGACTATCAGATTATAAGGTGTATCTGATTGTAGAGATGTCAAAATGTGAAAAGGTGTGTATTAACAAATGCATCCTTTAAAACAGCAGTCGCCAACTGGTGGTCTGTGGACCACTGGTGGTCCGTGAGGTCTGAAAAGTTGGCGACTTTAAGAATCTGAGTATTTTAAGATTGTGAGATTCTGCCTACATTGATTGTTTTTAACCGTGAGGTCTGAAAAGTTGGCGACTTTAAGAATCTGAGTATTTTAAGATTGTGAGATTCTGCCTACATTGAGATTTGTTTTTAAAGAAAAAAGAAAGCAAAGGATACCATACCAGATGCTCTCTTCTTAATCAGCTTCAGGTAGTTCAGAATGCTACATCTGGTGTCCACATCCACTTCCATGTTTTCCAGGTAGCAGTTCAGAATCGGGATCAGCCCAGGAAACACGCCTTCCTGCACGAAGCAGATGCCATGAGCTCCCTGCCTGCGGGTGTCGGCCGGCCGGCAGGCAGTGGGCGCACAGGACCCTACCTTCCCATTGATGATGGTGTCTATGCTCATCAGGGCGTACTCCTCGTGCTCCTCTGCGGCCAGCTCCGCGCTCTGCTGGGCCTTGCCACAGCCGTCCACCACAGCATTGCCACCTGCTGGTGATGGCAGAGCAGCGTTAGTGGCCTGTTGTAGCCTAAGTGGCCCCAGAAATCCAGGTGATGGCAGAGCAGCGTTAGTGGCCTGTTGTAGCCTGTTGAGCAGGCTGGCTGGGGGGAGCAGAGGATGTAATACCTTTGCAAATATCTTTCCTGAAGTAGAACATTCCCTGCAGGACAGCATCTCGTTTCTGTGCGACTTTCATGTTTTCATCAACCTAGGGGAGAAAAAGAACATGCCCAAGTCAGAACACTCTTGACCAACCAGCCATGCCTCCGTCACTTCTGCCATCAGGACTCGCCTCCCCTCAAGAATTCTACTGTCCTTCCTGAGGTTTCTGGTCAGAAGAGCAGACTTTTCACTTTTATGTGGGGACTGTCACTCAACCACAAGTTGGTATGTGCTTTTTAACAATAATGGGGGGAAAGAGAAGCTCACCTTAAAAAAACAAAAGCCTAGAATCACGTGGCTGCCTGCATTTCAAGGCACCTTTGTGACTGACCTTCCAGGAAACCTATCTTGAGGGCAGGTGGCTGGCTCCCTTTACACAGCACAGGACTCGTCCGAGACCCAGGTGAGGAAAGGCAGGGAACCCAGCCCTGGCTCCCAGGTCAGTGGTCTGCCCCCGCCACCCCTGGGGTTTTGCTGCCTCACTTTGTCGTCAGATCTGGACTGAGCTTAGCTTTCCGTGGGCAGAGGGTCAGCAACACTGTTTGCCCTGGCCGTGTCCACTTATTCAGCAGACCAAAACCTCGCCATTCGTGAATTCTCCATTTCTCCAGTGACTTTTTAAGACTCACAAAGTAAGAGCTTTCAAAACTTCTTAGTAAGCCCTTACTTCCTATAATGAAATCTGAGAGGATTCTCAATATATGAAAGACACAAGTTAGAGGGTCACACTGAACTAGCATGGGCTATTCAAAGTCTTTGATTACTTAGCCTCTTCACTATATTCATTAATTCCTACTGTTGTTTTTTAAAGACACATATGACCTGAATAATCTAGGGACTTCTAGAAACATATTCAAATACAGGCTAAAATTCCACCATGGTCACTGCCCTAGCCGATTTGGTTCAGTGGATAGAGCATCGGCCTGATAAAGCCATATCTTACCATACCACAGTGCCTTTAAATGCTTCTTATGCTTCTGAAAAATGTTTGCTACACTTTATGGGGTAAAGAGAATCATGAGTCTAACACTGATTTTCCTCTATCCCATTTATACTTTCTATCACATTTGTCATTATTGCTCTTTTTCAAAGATAGCTGTTTTCCACACTGTCCTTTTTTAGGCATATTGTACGCAAACAATATATGCCATTATGTTGCTATTTTATATTACCTGTTTCAGCTTTTTAATAGGAGAGTTTATTCAAATTTGTTGTCTTTTTTTTTTTTTTTACCATTTTATGCTCTCTGGGCTATCCTGTCTTACACTCCCCTGACCCCACACCTTTTAGCTGCAGGTTAATAGTAAACAGTTAATAGTAGGATTTACTATTAACCTGTAGCTATCTATTACTAGTTTTTCTTTTAAACAAGTAGTTTTGAATTCTCTCTAAATGCCAAGCATTACAGAGTATCTACCATCCCTCTCCTCCACTGTCCCTTCACTAGGTAAGACTTCTGGCATACTTTTAGCCCTAATAATCTATCAAGTTTTGTTAGAATTACCTGGAATTTAAAGAATAATTTGACTGGAAGAGAATTCGATGGTTGTGATTTTTAACCCCTCAGGATTCTGAAGACCTTTCTCAATCTCTTTTACTATTTACTGTTGTAGATGACAAGTGAGAAACTGTTTGTTTTTCACCCTCTTGGCAGCTATCCTAATTCTCTCTACCTAGACAGCTGTTATTTTTCTTTGAGATTCAGAAATTCCTAGTGGGTTCTTCTTTAAATATTTATCTCTAGACCTAATGGACTCTTACAGGGAAAATTGTCTTATTTCCTTGATTACCATATCTTGCATCTCTTTTATACAAACCGGGCTGGGGGAGGGAGCGCCTGGCTCATGGGCCATATGAGGCCCGAGAAACCATTTGGTCTGGCCCTGCCAAGGCAACTGCACGCAGGACTCAAAATTCAATAAACTTAGGAGCTTTTAACATAGCAACATACATTTATATTAAGCGAATCTATACTAATAAAAGGGTAATATGCTAATTAGACCTTCCAGACAAAGCCATGGCAGAGGCAGTTACGGACGATCAGGCTGGAGGGGGAGGGGGGTAAGCAGGCTGGCTGGGGGGAGCAGTTGTGGGTGAGAAGGCCGGCAGGCAGAGTGACTAGGGGCAATCTGGAAGGCAGGCAGGTGAGTGGTTAGGAGGCGGCGGTCCCAGATTGGAGAGAGTGCAGGCCGGGCTGAAGGACACCCTCCCCCTCCCCGCCCGCGCACAAATTTTGTGCACCAGGCCACTAGTAATGTTATAAATATCCAATGGCCCTTGGCAGAAAAATGGTTCTCCACCCCTGATATAGACTATTCTTTTCTTCTAAATTACACAAACACTGAACTTTCCAGAGCAATTTTCCATGTTTCAGTTTTTCATTTCTTTGCCATCTGCTGGGCTGGATCCCACTTTGGCTTCCTAAATCACTGACTTTGATCTTCAATATCTGCGCTACTGGGGCATATACTGTGGTGTGGTTTATCGCTGTTGTTAATCCTCACCTGAGGATATTTTCCCATTGATTTTTAGAGAGTGGAAGGGAGGGGGGGAGATAGACACATAGATTGGTTGTCTCCCGAATGTACCCCAACCAGGGCTGGGGACTGAGCCTGCAACCAAGGTATGTGCCCTTGACAGGAATCAGACCCAGGACCCTCAGTCTTTGGGCAGGCACTATCCTCTGAGCCAAACTGGCGAGGGCCATTTACTGAGTTTTAAAATTGTGGCTACCATTGTTCTTTGTTTCTAACAACTATTCTCCAAATGCTCAGTGGTCTACAGTGCTTGTTTCATGGGTGTGAGCCTTCTCTAGAATTTCTTTAAGAGTTTTTTCCAGCCGAACCGGTTTGGCTCAGTGGATAGAGCGTTGGCCTGCGGACTGAAGGGTCCCAGGTTCGATTCCGGTCAAGGGCATGTGCCTTGGTTGTGGGCACATCCCCAGTGGGGGGCGTGCAGGAGGCAGCTGATCGATATATTTGATGTTTCTAACTCTCTATCCCTCTCCCTTCTTCTCTGTAAAACATCAATAATAAAAATATATATTAAAAAAAAAAGAGTGAATTTAAAAAAAAAAAAGAGTTTCTCCCTTCTTCTCTGTAAAAAATCAATAATAAAAATATATATTTAAAAAAAAAGAGTGAATTTAAAAAAAAAAAAGTCTTTTCCAATTTCTTGAATTAACTGTGTTTCACTGAGGATAATATACTTTTTGTAGGCTCTTTAAGGCCATTAAAAGTTCTTGGTTTCCTGACATTTAGACATCTATTGTAAACAAAGGCTTAGACTGGTAGCTTACATGGACTGTGCCTCAGACAGGTTGCTCTCCCCAACAGGCACACCCGGTGTGCAACATGGGCCACGGGACTCCATGGCCCCCTTCGGCCTGGGTGTGAGAGCAGGCAGGGATGAGCTGGCAGCCAGACTGCCTCCAGGGTATGTGGGGGGACAGGGCAGCTGCGGTGCCCCCTGGGGGAGAGGGAGCAGAGGTCGGGCTCCGCGGTTTCTTCCTTCTCCCACACTTGCTGGGACGGGGCTGCTCTTCTCCTTGCTCTGCCCTAACACCTCACCAGACCCCTCGCTCTGCCTGCAGCTTTCCCAGCCTCTCTCTGCCAACACACCTACTGGCCCGGGAACCAAACTTTCTACTTGCTGCCTCACAGCCTGGAACTGTTCTGAGCCTCTGCCAGGAAACTGCTTCCAGGAGTTTCCTTTTCTCTTTTTTATTGGGTTTGTTTTTCTGATGGTCCAAGCCATCACATTCTCCAGGAACAGCTCCAGTTCAGCCCCAGAGCAGGTACCCTTTCTCCTCACACCCTAGGTTTAATACTGTAACCAAAATAAGATGGTGGGGAGGATGAAATCTATTTGTGGGACTCACTCTAACCACCATCTTTCAAATGGGCTAAGAAACCACTGTTAGCACTTTTTTTTCGGGAGTTTCCACCAGTGTAGCATCAAAAAGGAAAAAAACAATAACGTGGAGGGAGAAGCATTTTATTCTAAAAGGTGAACAATTCTAAATGAGGTCATATTTAAAATAAATATGATATATAAATGAACAGAATAGTCACAGCTATCTAGACCCAGTGCTACCCTTTCTCACACTCTTACCTTTGACAGCGGAATGAGAAAATCTAATTTGTAGGAAAGGATCACTCTCGTGAGCAGCACCACAAACACCACATACGCCGAGTTCTCGAAGTCTGTTAACTGAACCTAGACAAGCAGGAACCCAGAAATTAGCAACCCACCACACAAGCAAGCCATTCCCCAACAAAGCCCTCCTTGGATCACATCATCCCCCAGTTCCCCACCAGGGTCTGAGTCTGCTCACAATCTATTCTCAGAAATCAACCCCCCTTAGCTTCTGGACGTGCTCACTGTGTGCACACACTTGATCTGTATCAGTTTCCAGTTAATTTAGGAGCCTCTGCTAAGAGCGTCACAGGGTCGTGGGCACTCAGAAGACGGGTGCGTGTGAGTTCGCTCCTGCTGATGCTCATCTTACCTCCATGGGCCGGAATTCCACTCTCCATCCAATGTCTGAGTTTGGAGGAGGAGGCTTAAATCTCATTGTCTGCCAATTTGTGGACTGAATGTTCTATAATAAAAAAGGCAGAGAATAAAACCAACTTTCCATAGGCCCCAGAAAATATTAAGATGATTTGATAGTTAATGAGGGGAGACTGCTTGCTGTCCATACCTAATACTCTTCAATTTATAAGTACAAAAAGGTACAATTTAAGATTTTCTTGGAATGTGACCTGCTAGGAAAACAAACAGCAAGTGTTTAATAAAAGTTGGGTTATATGCCAGCAGCTCTGAAATAACTGATCAGGTTATTTTTATGTAGCATGCTTGAACTTTTCACCATGCTGCAAACAAGAGAAAATACAAAATAAAAAATTTAGAACTGGAAATATAACCTGTAAGAATCATAATAAAAGTACCTTGAACCAATTTAAAACTTGTCTTGGTTCTTTACTGCACTGGATAATGAAAGGCATGTGAGGTTTCCACTGGGCAATTTCTCACAGACACAGAAAACTGCCTCCGACTTGGTTAGTGAGATAAAAATGCATTTAAAACAGGAACTACCTCAAAATGGTCAGACTCATTGGCATCATCCAGGTGTATTTTCTCTTCAAACAGAGTCAGCGGGTCTCTGATAAAGAGATGAGCAACATGCTGGGCCAGGAGGTGGTCAATGCCTGCAAAGAGAGGTTGCACTGGACTCACTACACAGCTCAAGACTCCACTGTCCTCTAAGTCCCAAAGGAAGACGGACAGCTCAGGAGGTTGAAGAGCGGGTGTCTAGAAGCTCAGGCAATGGCTGGTGTGTTCGGTAACTCATGTCGCCCAGGACCTTATCCTACGGGCCCTGAGGAAGTGCCGGAGTTTCACTCGCTACTTACACAATGCCTGTTGGGGCACTGGTGGGGACCTAGATACAGACCTCCAAAGTAAGTTCCTTTTGCTAAAAGTCAAGAAGATCTCACAAGTATTTGGAACTTGAAACTTTAGGAACAAGCAGCCTCCTAAGAAAAGTTAGAGACTTCACACTAAAAACAGAAACCAGACCAGGAGTCAGCAAAAAAAGTTTAAAAGAGTTTTGAAGAACTAAAGGCGTACAGTCAAATCTAGGAAAAAAGGCATGGATGCTCACCTTCCTGCAACAGCTGCTCGTAGATTTCTTTATCTATTGTCAAGTCGATGTCATTGTATTTCTCTCCACACTCAGACAGGTAACTGTCTATTGAATCATATCGGGATTTACTAATCCTATAGTTATTGTTCTTCAGTGGCTAAAATTTAAAAAATGTGAATGAATGCCATATAAAATCATTTGGAAATAAACTAATGCCCCAAATAATTACATTAAAATGCCGTATGTTTTTATATATAATGATTATATAAAAATGTCTAACCTTAACATAAGATTCTGAAAAATAAGTTAACACTGAAAAGTAATATTAGGGAAAATTATATTTAAAAAGCCTGGATAAATTAAGTAGCCTTTTTTTTCCCCCCTCGTTTTTAAGTAGCCTTTTTGCCTGATGATTTAAATATACCTTAACTTTTTTCTTTTTAAAGCACATCACCTTCATTCTTACTAAGTTTCAAAAATAAATGCCAAGATTGACAGCAAAATAATTAATAAAAAGCCTATACTGTAAAAGAAAACTATCAAAATGATTTCTCCTTTGAAGTTCGTTTATTTTTAGAAAGCATGTTCAACAATTTATGAGCAATTGCATGAAGAGCAGAGCAGCAGTAGTGTGCGCTGGTTCAGAACATCAGAATTACTTGGGAGGGCTCCTTTAAAAACACCTATGTCAAGGTTCCAGTCCTGGAAAACTTATTAAAGGTCTGAGATGGGCTAGGGGTCTATTTTTAAAGATCTCCAGAGGTGGTTCTGATGGATACTCTTGGTTGGAGAAATGCAAGGTCACAGTTCAAGAGGCAAACAAGAGGCACTAACTGACCCTTATAAGGCAAAACCTAACCCTTCATATGGGGCAAAAAATCTTTGACAACAGAGTATACTTTCCACAGCAGAAAGCATCATATACAAAGCACTCATGTAGCGCCAAAAAGCACTTGGTAAAAACAGCCATCAGCAGTGACTGCCAAAATATTAAAAACAAAAACAAAAAAAAAACTACACTATTAATTTTAGAAGATAAAATAAATACAGATTTCAACAAATGATGAAAATTAAAACCCCACCCAAACCAAATCACATTTCCACATATTCACCCCAGAACAAACACTATAAAGCCAAAGACCACAAAGATAGGTTTATAACCGATGAATTTCTTCCCATGTGTGACTCAAGATAAAAATTTGAGGGAAACTTCAAAATCACAAGTAGTTATTACAATAGCTCTGGTTGATCTGCTTGATATAAAAAGGCTATGAAGGAAAAATCATTCCCACCTCCAGTCCTCTCTCCTCCCGAGTTCTATCATCTACAGATGCAGAAATCACGCCCCAGCGACAATCAACGTCTGACACATAGCCTCGGTAAAAAGGAGACGCAGCACTCAAAGCCATCTAAAAACAAACAGAAGTCAGCACCTACAGGTTCAAAATGTCACTTTCATGCTGAAAAAAGCTCCATGCAGTTATCTCTGGACACAAAGAATCAGTTATGCAACACAGCTCTACTGCACTCTCTGTGCCTGTTTCTTATAGTGGAATACCCCAGGAGTGACTTAAATCCCTGGATCTGGTACATTTAACATCCTCTCTCTAATGTGAGGACATGAAGAATGGAAGAGGGAAGATGGCTATACTGGAACTTAACACTTTAGCACATAAATGACTTACTAGCAACAGTAACCGTCTACAGCTTAGACTTAGACTTAGTCCACTGGTTCTTAATCTACATATTATCTGGGTTAGTTCATTTCTGAATGAAGTCTTAAATGGACTTAACTAGCACACTCAGCAAATTTCGCACATGCGGTCTTTATTCTATGCAAAGAAGAATTTAAAGTAAGATATGATTTCTACTTACGACAATTGGGCAGATAGTGGCCAACTGATCATACAGGTATCTAGCCTCGGAAATGCTGCAGGCTTGGAACGTTACCTGTGTAAGAACTGCAAGTTATTAACAACAAAGAATTATTAACATCCTCCCCAAGGAGTGAAGTCTGAGAAGAAGACTGAAGAAGGGAGGGGCCTGGTAGGTAATGGTCATTCCATTGACAAAACATTTAATACAGGAGTTTGTTTAAAAGCTTGTCCTAGATGAATTTTGCTAGAAAGTGGTATTTAATCATGTTCAAAACTAACATAAATAAGATTTTAAAAGTCGATAAAGAAAAATAAGACATTAGATAAATGATAAAGTTCATTAAGGCATTTCCTCTTCTACTGGTTTCTTTCAAGAGCTTCCCTTTCACTTCAGTTGGCTGAGAGGTTACATGCATTTTGGTAAAAAGGGGACTTGGAGATACCGAGGATGGGTTTCAGAGTGCACTGGTGGCAGCATGAGGAACAGCTTGGAAGGGGCAAGACTGGAGGAAGGCAGAGAAGTTCAAATGCTGCAACCGCCTAAGAAAAAGTTGAGCACACTGGAACAGGCAGCCAGCTCTGATGGCCACAGGGTAGAGAGAGTGAGGTTGTGACTTAGCACTTGGCTTGGGTGCTCCCAGGACAGACAGGAAGAAGAGGCAAAGGCTTACGGAGCCAAGGACAGACAGACAAAGAAAGCCGCCCTGTAAGTGGCTGGGTCCAGAACTGGTGCCTAGAAGAAAAACCTGGGCTGGAGAAATATTTGGGGAGTAGGCTCAGATGATGTCCTGAAGATGGGCAGATCACCTAGAGCAGTGGTTCTGAACCTTCTGGCCCTTTAAATACAGTTCCTCATGTTGTGACCCAACCATAAAATTATTTTCGTTGCTACTTCATAACTGTAATGCTGCTACTGTTATGAATCGTAATGTAAATATCTGATATGCAGGATGGTCGTAGGCGACCCCTGTGAAAGGGTCATTCAACCGCCAAAGGGGTCTTGACCCACAGGTTGAGAACCGCTGACCTAGAGAGTCTGCACATGATGGGTAAATAGGACATTTAAGAGTTAGGCAGAGAAAAAGATCACATAATGAGTAGTACAAATCCTCCACAAATAACTACTAAAAAGAATCTAAAAAAATTTTCTACCTTTTTTGGGGCAGGACACTGGGAGCAGTGGATGGGAACAAGGGATACAAATTGTGGTTGTGCTGGCACATCTGCATTAACTGCAAATTGGGAACAGTTCTAATTTCCTGTCACTGTTATTTAATAACTAGTGGCCTGGTGCACAAAATTTGTGCACATTAAAAGGGAATTAGAGGAAATATTTTAATATTGCTATTTGCCCTTTCTCTATAATAGAAGTGTCAGAGATGAAAGAAAATTAGTAAAATGTATATGAAACTCTCCCTCCTGTCAGAGCCTGGGGTGCGCCGTGGGACCCAGAGTCAAGTCCCCGCACACCCGCATGTGCCTTGAAATCGCGCGAGACCCAGACCCAGCTGGCCCCACCCCCATCAAGCCCTGCAGGGCGGGGGGCGCAGCCTCAGGTCCCCCGGCCCCAGCACGAGGGCGTGACAATCATTTGCATTTTAGCACTTTATTATATAGGATTATATAGGACTAGAGGTCTGGTGCACAAAAATACATGCACTTGGGGAGGGGGGCTGTCTCTCAGCCCGGCTTGCGCCCTCTTGTAGTCCAGGAGCCCTCAGGGGATTTCTGACTGACGGCTTAGGCCCGCTCCCCACCAGGAGTGGGCCTAAGCCACAGTCTGGCCTCCCTCTGCAGGAGGCGACTGGGCAGGCCAATCAGGGGATGGCGAGTGGCCTGCCCCAACCCCATCGCCCCGCCACTGCTGCCACCCATGGCCTCCCTCTGTAGGAGGCAACCAGGCGGGTCGATCAGGGGACGGCACCGGCCAACAAGCGGCCAGCCCCACCCCCTTATCACCCCTCCGCCACCACTACTCACTGCCACCCACCCACCACCGTTCCCTCCCTCTGTCCACTGGCATGCACCTTGGCTGGCCTGGCACTGCCTGCTCACCCGCCCCACTTCTGCCGACCAGTTGTTCTGCTGTTTGGTCGATTTGCATATTACACTTTTATTATATAGGATGACAATTTGAATTTAATGTTGGCACAGGAAATTACTTAAATTGCTTAATACTTGAAATAGCTAAACCAACATGTTCCAATAGTTTTAGCCAGGTCTCAACTTTGCATTCTTAAAAGCCAAGAACTGCTGTTGGAGTCACAGGTGCACCTGCTGACTCACAGTGGCATCTCAGGTCAGTGTGGTGACTATAGAAAACAATCTTTCAGACAGGTTACTGTGTCCTGATCTTCCTACACTTCCTATGCTAAGGCTATGTTTTCAGTAAAATGTAATAATTCACCAGCCATTACAGATTAATTCAACCCAGAGAAGAGCTGAGTCATAGACATCAACGAATAAGAGTATCAAAGGTTAAAAAAGATAAAGATTGAGTAGGGCTGGCAACTAGGTCACTGATAACAAGGAGGGTAGTTTCTGGAAAGAGGCAGAAACTCGGAAATTAGTCTGTGCTGGGTAAGGGTTAAATGAGAAGTGAGGAGATGGGGGAGGGTGCACAAAGTATTTACTCACTTATCTGCTGTGACCCCACCACAGAAACCTCCAGCACAGCAGGGATGTCTATGACAAGTGTGAAGAACAGTGTCTGACACCTACTTAGTATAATAGATATTTATTACATTTATATAGTATCTTGAAGGAATGAGGGTGTTATAGAGGAGAACACATGGGCAAAGGTAAGTTTTATTTTAATAAAATGGTGAGATACTTGAAAAACTGTGACCCCACAGGCCAAATTCACATGGATTGAGATTACAAGCACCTAAATGTTCCCCAAGTATTTTGACTGCTGAATTCTTTTGAACAGACTTCTCTACTTAGGTCCTATTCAGCACTTCTGGAAATTTTAGCGTGTGTCTGTGACTTTTGTTCTTAAAAAGATAGTACAGTGAGCATTGTTTCTTTTCAGTTTTGTGACTGGGTTCTGTTAACTGGCCTACTGCATACTAGCCCATCCACAGGCAGATCCTGGGAAAGCCAACCCTAGACGAGTTAAAAAATTAGCACCTGGAATTCAATAGCTGCGTTACAACAGCACAGCGACTTATTCTAAATCCACTTACTATCTTCCTTACTCTAGAGCTGATACCATCGTTACCAAACCAAATGCAACATCACTGCAGATAAAGGCTTAGTGGAGAAAGGAAAAAAGTTCTAATACCTTAAAAAGGTGTAAATATATGAACAGTTGGCTTCTGGTATCCATTTAAAGTATATAAAGAAGAGAAGCAATGTCACCAGGAAACTGATGAGAGGGGAAAAATGAGTGTATGAAAAATACCAGATGTTAAAAACCTAAATATTTAATCTGAAATTTATCTAGGCCCAGCTGGTGTAGTTCAGTGGTTGAGCTTTGACCTATGGCCCAGGAGGTCATGGTTAGATTCCCGTTCAGGGCACATGCCCGGGTTGTGGGCTCGATCCCCCACAGGGGCATGCAGGAGGCAGCTGACTGATGGTTCTCTCTCATCATTGATCTTTCTATCTCTCTCTCCCTTCCTCTCTGAAATCAATACAAGTATACTTAAAATTTATCTAGAACCCAGTTTAAAGCTACATGATTTTCTGGGGTGTGGGGAGACCTCTTACAACACACAGGAACTTACTGACATGAACTCATTAAATGATTACTGAAAAGCTCCCAAGAGTCAATTTTGAATGTGGTTAAATGATTTGTCTTGTAAATTTTCCATTAATCTTCAATTACTTTTTAAACATTTTTTCTGCTTTACCGTAATAAGCAGTTGCTAGTGTTCCACTAAAGAGATTCACAGCAGGAAGCTCTGTGTTGATTTGTGGAAGTTGTTTCTGCCACACACTTCACATCTATGCCAATTTTTTCAGTATTGACACTGGGTATTGGACGTGCCATTGAGAAAAAGAAACTTAATCTTAAACCCATGACAAAGCTTAAATTGGATAGAAAACTATATCTACCAGCAATAAAAATGTGGCTGGTAGATACCAGGAGACCGCTTTTATTTGTAAAAATACAGCATTTCAAGGGAAAGAATAGCCCTTTGGAACAGAACAACTGCGATGTCCCTGGCGAAACACCCTGGTTTAATATTAAACCAAAAAAAGGCAAGCGGTTCTCCCACAGCACCAATAGAGTTTTAAAGCCGTGCACTGTGAGTTCTAGAGCTTAATGGTTCTCTTTGGAAATATTTGTAATTAAGATAGGGAGGCAGATAAGCAGTTAACAGTCAAAAGGTCTCTTTTTTATGAAGTGCAGCCATGTATAAGGAAACTTTCTGGCCTGTTTATTTGGAAGCCACATATTTTATACTACCTATGGAAGTCAGGAAAAGCAGGAGAAAACTGTACCCTTGGCCATGGTTACTGAAACACATTTAGCACGGAAAACTCGGACCCTGGCAGCTGATTTGGATTCCACATAGCTGTGAAAATAAACGCATTAGAGATATGTGCAGGAAGGTGTGTGCCTGTGCTGCAGCTGTTTGAGATGATGGGGAGGCTGGTTTCCCGGCCCCTGTGTCGAAAGTGCTGAGGCTGGAGGTCCAGGGGCCCTTACGTGGGGACAATGCCTGGTGCTGCTCCAAGAACACTGTTCCTAATCAGCTGAAATATTGAGACCTAGATAAAATCTCCTTAAATAACAAGAGGCTCCCTTTTCTTTGATTTTTTTCAAATTTTTAACTCTTGTTCTGAGAGGATTTTAAATAAAGTAAAGATTAAAATAAATACTTGTGTTCATAAAAACAATGAAATAAATAATAGCTTGGAGTCAGACCTAGCAGAGGCCTTAATATAAACCCTTCTTTAAACTGCTGAGAAAACAAGCCAAAAAAAGTGAAGGAAGTTACCCAAATACCAGAGTAGCCAGGCCCTGTGCTGCCTGAGGAGTCCCGGGTTCTGCCCCCCAGGCCCTAAGTGAGCCTGGGCACAGTCCCTGCCAGGGGCTCCGTGATCTGATTAGGTCAGAAAGGCTGTTCTACCTCCTGTGTAACTCAGCCAGGGGCAGGGCAAACTCAGGCTGTTTTCTTTTTATGCTGCCAGGTGGCCTCACATGAATACAAAGATTTAAAGTCCAAACAGTCCTTCCCTTGATGACAAAATCACTGGAATGCATCCATTAGACTTCACTTTCAGAAGCAAGAGATTTAAGCCATGTTTATAACCTCAAAGCTACACTGTCGCTAGATGGCAGCAAAAATCAGGCTTATAGAAAGAACAGAGACAGTGACCGGGAACAGTTCACATTTTATGTTAATCAACAACTACGCATCCCTGTAGTGAAAGGCAGATTCCGTCAATTCTCTGTCAAGAGATCGTTTCCAACGAATTTACTAAAATAACTTAAACTGGTTTTCAGAAAAGCATACTAGCTACCATTTCAACCTGACTAAATATGTTTTCTAAAGCGGAAACACAAACCTATAAAGGACAGAAGTCATAGAGAGAAGTGGGTGAGGGCACTCGCCTCTGCCTGTGAGCTAGTACCTGAAGACAGCAATTGCCCATCCCAAATCCCATGGCATCCATGTAGATGTGATCTGGCTTTGAAGCCTTGGCCGCCTCGTCATCCTCAGGAAATTTTTCTATAAACGGAGACGGTGTGTTCTTATCTTTAAATACTGTATTAAAAAAAAAAAAAGGAATGGGTGAGAGCCAAGGATTAAACAACAACTCCACAGGAACCTCTCCCACCCGCCACCCCTGTGGACTCACTTGGTGCATTGATGACTACCTTTTCTCCTCTCCTGTGCCGGATATTTCTGGTTAGGGTGCTGAAACAGACAACCAAACGCCATCCATCAGTCCCATCGGTACCAAAGACCCATTATGTAAAAGAAAATTTGGTCATATACAAGTAAATGAATGAAATCCTGTACCTTCAAACTAATTCTGAGGCCACTCGGTAGATAATTTATATGGATCAAGATACTCTGAGAGATTCTCTGAAAAAGGGCTTTACATTAATACCACTCCCCTGGGCGCTTACTCAAGACTGCCATTCTCTCCCCTGCTTAACCCCTGCTCCTCCTAACTCAGTGTTTGGAGTCTGCAGGGTCTGGTCTCACCCTGCACCTCTAACACTTCCCACATTACCAAGCCTTTAACCAAACTTTAGTGCTTGCTCTCCCAGGCATCTCTGGAGCCCCAAGACCTCATTACTGCTGCTCCCAACCTGCAGCTTTAATACTTATCCTCTAGACCTGTGATGTCTAATCTAGGAGCTACCAAGCAAATGTGGCTACTGAGCACCTGAAGTGTAGCTAGTCCTGATAAAAATATGCTGGGAGGAGAAAAATACACACCAGATTTTGACAACTTAGTACAAAAAAATTTCATATTAATACTTTAAAAATAGATCATAAGGTGAAATAATAGTTTGGATCCTCTCCGTCAGAAACACCTGCTCTCTCCCAGGAGGATCCCTGCACTCCCATTTTCTTTTTTTAATCTCACCAGAGGATGTGTTTATATTGACTTTGTTAGAGAGAAAGGGAGAAACAACAATCAGTTGCCCCTTATATGCGCCCCAATCGAGGATTGAACCCACAACCTAGGTATGTATGTGCCCCGAATGGGAATCTAACCTGCAACCTTTTGGTGTGCAGGATGATGCTCTAACCAACGGAGCCACTGGCCAGGGCAATGCTACCATTTTTTTTTTTTTAACAGAGTCATAATCTATCTTTTCTTGCAGCTGAGTATCTCTTTTCTCCTTCGCACACTCTAACATTTGAAGTTGGGAACTATGTCTATAAATCTTTGTCTCCCCCCAAAAACTTTGCAGACCTCTTAAAAATGAATACTGACAAGTCCCAACATCCCTAACTCTAGGTCAGGCGCCAGGTTCAGGATGAAGGGTGAGACTCAGGGTACAAAGCTATTAGACTGGTGTGGGCCCTGAAGCAACTTAAACCCAAGAATTAAACACAAAAAGACCTAGAACAGTGGTCGGCAAACTCATTAGTCAACAGAGCCAAATATCAACAGTACGACGATTGAAATTTCTTTTGAGAGCCAAATTTTTTAAACTATATAGGTAGGTACATTGTTATTAACTTAATTAGGGTACTCCTAAGGCTTAGGAAGAGCCACACTCAAGGGGCCAAAGAGCCCCTGTTTGTTATGGGGTGGG